GGAGAACGGCCGATGGAAGGGTGGGCGAAGCTAGCCTCATTAACAGCAGAGGTGGAGATGCAAATCGAATTTGTTAATAATTAGTTGGGCCGCCTTGATTTCTGAGCAAGAACAACAACCCCAATTGCTGACGAGCCAGAGCCGAGGTAAACATTGCGTGCGCTCAGTGGTCAAGCCCAACAACAGGCCGCAAAAGCAAAATTCATCAATGTTCGTTACATAAAGTGGTTGAAAATGCCTTTATGTTCGGAGCTGTCATGGGTCTTTGAGCGAGAAATTAATTAAAGTGAAGATCCTGTTGCAGGAGTTTTGCCTTTATAAGTTAAAGACGATTTATACTCGCCCGTTTACATATGGCAAACTTAAGCATGTGGGCTTGACTGTTGGGAAATTGAGGTTCTTTGCTATGATTTTTTATAGAAATATAAAAAAAATCTGAGAATGCAACAGTAAAGCTGACAAAAATATTTATGTATAGCAAGAAAACCTTGAAGAGTTTTCTTATTTAATAGGTGTAATGATTGAATCTTCAGTTGGTGGACACAAACAAAATTAAGGGAGTCCGGTGTCAAAACTGGCAAGCACCTTCATCTCGTCAGCTTTTGTCTGGACCTACAAGTAGCAGCCGGACGTTGAGAAGAAAGATCTGGCTCCACGAAAGAATTATTGTAGATACGACGGAGAGGACGCTATGATCATGTTCGTCGGCGTAAGGACCGGTGGTAGGCCAATCACAAGTGGGCGCAGCTACCTTTAGCTTGAAGCCTTACAGGCGTTTTAGGAAAACGGTAACTGTTCAAGGCACTCTGCACTATGCTACGCTCATTTTTGGTGAACGACAAACAGCCTTCTTGTTTGTTTTTCACAACAGATGGTGCTTTCGACTTTATTGTTTGCCGCGCTAATTTGCGGATGCAGACTTAAAGTTCGAGGCGTCAGACTCTGTATCAAGGTTGTTCGGGAAAGGTAAAGGGATCATTTTTGCGGAAGATGACAATAAATGTTTTTTGAAACAGGTAGGTAGTCAGAAAAAAACCGTTAGAAGTGCTAAGAAACTGCTATATCCTTTCGTTTTTTCGATACCAGTATGGACTAGACCATATACTCAGGGCGTATTACTCCTCAATTTAGCAGCAGTTTTCCAACAAAGAATTCGATACAAAAAAAAAGTCGGAACCCCTGCTGGACTCGTTTAAGACCGGTTCATCTCTCCCAAGGTAGTCTCCCAAGGTAAGCCCCCAAGGCAATCATGTTATGCTTGTCAACTTTCACGTTTAATCATTGCAAGTAAGTATAAGTGTACACAAATTTTTATTCTAAAATCAACTTGAACGCCAAATAAACAATTAATGGCGTCAAAGCGGAAGCCAACTCGGCCAGCAAAAAGTACGGTCACCGTTTTTAATTTAATTCACAACTTTTGAAGGTTCGATTAATCACGTGGAGCTCAAAAGGAAGAGAAGGGACTTGAAAGGAGAGATTTAAGTAAACTAATATGAGTCCCTTTGTTAATCTAATTTTGCGATCCAAACGTAGGTAATCTGGCGGTGCGGAAAGGTTTGATATTGTGGGTCTAAGTCCCGATTGATTTACGGGGTACTATGGGTAGTACTTACACACATTTATATCGTGAAACTATAAGATAAGCTTAAAACGACTTCAGTTGCTTGAGAAGGTTATGCCGACTCGACGACGGCCTGAGTACCGATCGAAACCCTTTAGCTGCTGGCCGCGAAAGCCAATACGTCGCTGAGTGGAACCTCGTCCACCTCACTCGTTCGAAAGGCACTGTTCGCTCCGGAAATGACGGAAAGAACTCACCGAGGGATCAAAAATGTTGACGGGGCGGCTGCCGCAGGTTGTAGCTGGTTCTGATTGTGGCTGCTTCAGGTTGCTTGATCCGCGTGGACGTGGACTTAGCTGATATCGCCGTTTTGAAAAAAGGGGATATTTTCGAAATATATGGGTGTCAAACAAGTCTTGCGGTATGGTACACGGAGCGAAATAAAAAGAAAATCCGGCAATAAAATCGTTGAATTGGTCGAGGGAGACATAGTAGCAGCCGTAGCATCGGCCAAAACCTGGACATAAGTCAACAAACCGTTATAAACCAGAAGCTTGGATTCACAAAGAAGCTCGATGTATGGGTGCCACAAAATGGACACAGTAAAACATCTTTGACCGTATCGACGCATGCGAATCGATGCCGAATCGCAAAAAAATCAACCCATTTTTGAAGCGGATGGTGACTGGCGATGAAAAGTGGGTCACTTTCGACAACGTGAAGAGCAAACGGTCGTGGTCGAAGCGCGGTGAAGCGGCCCAGGCGTTGACCAAGCCCGGATTATCCGAAAGCTCAATTTGGACCTATTCTGCCAGCAACTGCACCGCTTGAAGAAGGGGCCATTTTTGACCAACAGAGGCCGAAATTTTTTCCGTCAGGACAACGCCAGGCCACACATCTTTGGTGATGCGTCAGAAGCTCCGGGAGCTCGGATGAGAGGTTTTTTTGCATCCGTGTAGTCCAAGTGATTACCAACTTTTAAACGTGGGTTCCGTTTTCTCCGCTTAGACCTCTAACAGCTAACCCAATTTAACCCGCCATTTTTCGAAGCCTAGACCATTCTCAATTAAAATGGCCAGATAGCCAGAGCCACTTAAAAAGGGGGACCATCCTACAAAATCGTTCTATATTTTAAGTTTTAGATTTTTTTTCCCATCCCCAAGTTAATTCTAACTTCTAACGGACATCACAACAACATTTTTTTTTTCATTTTTTTGTGAACTGGTGTCAGAACGTTTTTTTTTAATGTTTTTTTTCAATATACAAATTATATAAACACAACTACTTTGACAAGGAGTTGTGTTACTTTGATAATAAAAATAGATTCTAAGACAAGAAAGGAAGCCAAATTCGGCAAGTCAAAGTTTATATACTCTGGCAGCTGTTGCCAAAATTAAATTTTCTTTAAAACATCTAATTTACATTGAAGCGATAACGATTTTTAGCTCATTTATTCGAAGGCTCTTATTTCAGCTTTATCAAATCATTGTCCGATTTTAATAAAATTAAAATAGTTTTTCTGAAATTTTAGATATTTAGAACGTTCAAAAAAATGTTTTAAAACAATTTAAAAATAGAAAAGTTAAATTTTTCTTTGATTATTATACCCTTGCAGAGGGTATTATAATTTCAGTCAGAAGTTTGCAACGCAGTGAAGGAGACGTTTCCGACCCTAAAAAGTATATATATTCTTGATCAGCATCACTAGTAGAGTCGATCTAGCCATGTCCGTCTTTTTCGTCCGCCTTTCCGTCTGTCCGTCCGTTTATATGCAAACTAGTCTATCAGTTTTAAAGCTATCTGCATGAAACTTTCCCAAAAGTTGTCTTTCTATTGCAGGTAGTATATAAGTCGGAACGAGCCGGATCGGACGACTATAGCATATAGCTCCTACAGGAACAATCGGAAAAATAAATGAAAAAAATTATAACTTCGCTGTTTTTTAATTTTTTGTTTAGTTCTTCGACATATAGTAATGGTTAAATATTTCCGATTCACGGTTTAAATTTCATCAAAATCGGACGACTATAGCATATAGCTCCCATAGGAACAATCGGAAAAATAAATGAAAAAAATTATAACTTTGCTGTTTTTTAATTTTTTGTTTAGGTCTTCGTCATATAGCAATGTTTATTTATTTCAGAATTATGGTTTAAATTTTATCAAAAGCGGACGTCTATATCATATAGCTCCCATAGAAATAATTAAAATATATAAAATAACTATATAATAATTGAGCTGCAAATCATCATAGTTTCAATATTTTTCAGCATATACTCAAGTAAATCATAATTTAAATGTTTTCAAAAGTATTTAATTCATGCAATAGCTGCAAGGGTATATGAACTACGGCTTGCCGAAGTTTGGTTCCTTTCTTGTTTTTTTTTTAATTCCGATTGTTTCCATAGGAGCTATAAGCTGTAATCGACGTATTTTAAAGAAATTTATATCGTAACTCTAAATTTGATCCTATGGGAGCTATTAGCTATAGTCGTCCAGCTCGTTCCGACCTATACTATCTGCAATAGAAAGACAATTTTTGGGAAAGTTTTCAGCAGATATATTATATTAAAAACTAAGAGATTAGTTTGCGTAGAAACGGACGGACGGACAGACGGACATGGCTAGATCGACTCACCTAGTGATGCTGATCAAGAATATATATACTTTATAGGGTCGGAAATTTCTCCTTCACTGCGTTGCTTACTTCTGACTATAATTATAATACCCTCTGCAAGGATATAACAATAATGCGCAGTGGACGGAAAGTGCACAAAATAAATACAGTTGAAAACAAAAATGGTGAACAGAAATCGACAATTTAAACTGTTTTATTTACATTAAGCACAAAATAGAATATATGTCCATATTGCCCACAGGGGTTATGATACAATAAATAAAATCGGAGTGCAGAAAAAATACGAACCAGGTGCATTGAAGAGAACTGATTGGCGTGGAACGGGTGTGACCAAGAGAATCAAACTCGATACCTATGTGTAAAGTCAAGAAATCTGAGAAAAAAAAAATTAAAAGTCGCATAATTATCCGAGTAACATTGCGCTGTAAATAAGATACTTAAAAATACCTTGCAAACAACAATTGGCTCAAAAACGATTTTCTGATTTAGTTTGAAGCTTGGACTTATGAATTTTTTCTCCGAAGTATCAAATTCGTGTTTCAAATATCCAGTAAGTAAAAAAAGATTCGATTTGAAAAATTATTGCTGTGTCGATAGGTATTAACCGAATACACACTATTCCTAGTCCGTTTGAAAATCCAATATGTAAATTAATATCAGATGAATACAGGAAACGCGAATACTTTTAAAGTCATTAAGGCATCGAACTTTTCAAGCTCTACCTAAGATATAAATTCTGAAATATAGTTAAGTAAATAGTTAAATAAAAAATTGTTTAATAAAATTTCATTTTTATAGGCGATGAGAGCATTTATTGAATCGAACTTCAAGCTACTTGACATAGACAGCGATGGTATTGTTGGAGTTAAAGAATACCGTTATAACTGCATAACTAGAGTAGCCATCGACGATATCACACCAATTGACAAAGCCTTCGAGACATTGCTGAATGTAAGTTAGTTTAAGTTGTTTAACAAAAGCTAAAAAATTTGAGAACTTTATTTTTTCCAGGACGAGGATCGGAAACGTGGAGGTCTTTCATTAGATCGTTACAAAGAACTGTATGGTCAATTTTTGGGAAATACTGCTGATAATCATCCAGCAGTAAATCTATTTGGGCCTTTATAAATATTTTGTACATTTAATTGTCTTCGCTGTTGTTCAACTACTATTTATTAAGATTTATTTGTAATTACTATGACTTTAAATTTATTACCACATAGCAATAATACATTCATATCATTTTGTGTAGAATCGTCAGATAACCAGTTCGTTAACTTTAAAGTTTTTTAGTTAGTTAAGTACATTTGCTCTCAGAAGTTTAAAATAGGTAATGATGTTGATTTTCTCTCCCAAAAAGGCTCTTAAGTTAATACCTCTCTCTCGAAACTAGATTACAAATATTTGTTGTGTTCAATTAAAGTTGTAATAAATAAATACCAAAATAAACCATTGCTTATGAAGTTTAAAAATTGTATTGCACAAGTAACCTTTTCTGTGGGTAACAAGCAATTGATAAAACTATGCACTTAGTTAATTACGAAAATCTTTTAATAACATTTGTTGGATCCTTTGATTTTTTTTGTTATTGAATTTGATAAAACCTTGAAGTTATGAAAGTCATCGTAAATGAAGTTTACTGTAAGTTAGTTTATGGCGAAGGCGGTAGCACAATAAAGCTCTCTCTCGCTCTCGCGAAGTCGCTCTGTCTTCGCCAACCTTCGTTAAGCTAGGTTTTAAGTACTCTTATAGAAATTAAATATAAGCAATCGTAAAATTTGAATCGCTTTGATCGCACGCAGTTATTTCCATTTCCTTGTCGTTTGCCAATAAAGTTCACACCAACAATTTCCTTTTCGTTGATTTTAATTAGAAAAAATATTCTAAGTTTTTCATGGCGCCCCCGGGTGGACAGTGAACAAAAAAGTAAAGACAACAAGTTTTGACACAAATATACATACAACAAATGAAGTTTAAGTGCAATTTAAATAGCAAACCAATTTGCACAAAAATATATATTATATATATAAAAAGTTACCAATTTATATCAAACACGTAACCTATTTAAGCCGCAATTAGATGCTAAATTTGCTAAATATTAAAATTTTTATTCGTCGTTGTTTTTGATTCGAATTTATTTATTATTTTTTATAGTAATTTTTTGGGACTTCAATTAATTATTTTATTCGGTTTTATTTTTATATATTTTAAATAAATAAATTTAAAAAAAATCATGGAATCAGGAAAATTAAAAAATTAATCATTTTTGGAAAACTTATAAGTATTCGTCGCTTTGAAGAACGGCTAGATTCGGGTTCTTCTCCGATCCAAGCGCAAAAATTGGAATGCAGTCTTGATGATTTAAATTCATCAATTGATAAGGCAAATGAATTGCAAGAATGCAGAGAGGAGATAGATTGCCGTGAAAACAGGTGGCGAAGCCGAAGCTCTACGCTCAGCCTCGTTAGCCCCAACTCGTGCTCGACTCCGAGTTTATCATTGTGAAAATTCAGCGGAAAATATTCGGAGCTTAAAAATTTCATCAGTCTTTTCGAAACTCTAGTTTTAAAAAAGTGTACGATAACGAACAATATTTTGACATTGTTTAGTCTTCCTAAAATTTTACAGCAGTCCGCATCGTCCCTACAGAACCTTATCGATACTGTTCCATCGATTTACTGGACAAAAGAAAGACTACGGTTGGACTGACTGCTGATGTACGAAATTCGGACACTGTGGATGTCATCGAGTGATTTTCGTCACATCTCAAACTGCTAAGGATATTCGTTTATGTGTTCCGTTTTATAGGAAATTGCAAGGACAAGAGTATAGTTTCGGAAAAGACTCTGTCACCGACCGAATATAATGAAGCTTTTAATAAAATTGTCGAGATAATTTAAAAACACGAGTATCAAGAAGAAGTCGAAAAAGTTCGTAAAGGCTCCAGAGTCGGCCCAAGTCTTCAGAGATTGAACCCATTCATTGATAAAGATACGGGAACTTGGTGTAACTTTTCGTTTTTGCGAGTTGGAGGGCGACTAGTTACCGCTCCCATATCATACGTTGCCAAGTTTCCTTTGTTGTTGACAAAACGCTCCCAATTTTTGCAGAGCTGTGTCCGGGAACTGCACTACTCCAATTTTCATGTCGGTCCAAGAGCACTCGTGAGTATTCTTCGACAGCATTTCTGGATTGTTAACGCTCAGGAGGTCTTCAGTCAAACAGTTCGATCAGGTGTACGCTGCTTTAAATGCAAGCCTTGACTAATGACAAAAATTATGGTAAATTTACCCGCAGACTGTAACGAATCACGAATAATTTAGATTTAAGGCGAGATGTTGATGTATGGAGCTGTCGGCGATGAGGGGGTGGTGGTCTTGCTGCAAATTCCATAGATGCCTTTTATGATCCTAATACTTATGTTCGCGTGAAAGACATACTAAACCGGAAGTAGAAAACTCATACTAAAATAGGGGAGAGGGACATCGGGTTCCTTTAGCACAAATAATGTTTCACTACACCTCCGATGACTGAGGAGGTCTTCTGTGGCCATCATAACCTTTTGTTTTCTCATTTGCTGATGACCACTTTTTTGGTGCTTAAAATATTATAAAAATATTTATCAAAACTAAGACGAAATAATATACTTAAAAATACACATTAAAATCGGGGGTAAATAAATAAATAAATATTGGATTCGACATGCAATAAAGTATATATTGGAAAGTGTAAATAAAAATTAAAAAAATATATAAATGATGACAAAGTGCGATCAATAAAATCGACAGTAAATCATGACACAATAAAATTCAGCTTGGACAAATTAGTTGCTTAAGTCAGAAAAAATAACTGAAGGACGTAATGCGTGAGGAAAGGAAGACTTTAAAACGGCGATTGGGTTGCGCTCGCACAACCATATAAATGCATTAAAATTCTTTTAATTCTTCTGCTTTTGCTTACATTTTTTTAAGCGGCCCTAGCGAACGGTAGCTTATGATTTATTATCCTTTATTTTGTGTAACAGAATTAAATAAGAGGTTTGCTTCAAATAAATAAATAGACGAAACATAGGAACATTCATAAAGGGGAAATATTGGGATTTATATATTAATTGTTAGCCGGCTCAGTTCAGGATGTTAAAAAAATGACACAATTTTTTTAATTTTGGTTATTTGTCAATATATTTCGGATGCTTTTCGGCAACCGTCTTCAGGACAACTATAAAATAATTACAACGATTTTAATATTTTTAACAAACAGAAAACAATTTACATTTGACATACATTTAATTTAAACGTCTGCGTCCGGTGACGTGGAGTTGTTAACTAATTTTTTTTCTTTCCCTAGTAAGTGTGTATATAAATGAACGCAGTTGTCAGTGTCCGTTTTGTAGTTCATCAGTATGTCTGTAGGTGTTTTTATGATATGTAGCATTTCTATGGTGTATCGTTTGGCATAGTGTTGTTCTTGTGATAAAATACTCGCCTCTTCGAAGTTCGGTGAGTGATTACTCTTGGCACAGTGGGACATGAGTGCTCTTTTTTGCGCGTTCGTATGATGTCTAGCTTTGAAGTCCGATTTATGTTGTGCTAGTCTAGTTTTTAGTTTAGATTTTGTTGTTCCTATATATGTGGGGTGTGTCTGCTTTAAGGAGCAAGCATGCCATACGTTTACCCTAGACAACAACCTTTAAGCTGAACGAGAACTACGAAAGATGTGCGATCCAAAAGTAAAGACGAAAGACGAGAAGACTACAAACTGAAATTAAAGACGAACGACGAGGATGAGCAAAAAAGCGAGAGTTGGCTTTATGCAGACGACGAGAAGACGGAGAGTTGAGTTCGAGCCTTTGACGAGAGCGGTTGCAAGACGATAACCAAGGACGTGAAGACGAGAGAGCTTGTTCAATTTAAATTTTGCTAAAGTGTATTTCTATTTCTAATACTTAATACTTAATCAATAAACAATAATAAACTAAAATCCCACATTTGGGGGCTCGTCCGGGATTATGTGGATAATTGGATAAGTGACTAGTGAAAACCTGAAAAAAAAAAACCATGTGTGTGGTTCGATCTGCGTAAACTTCTAGAACTTTATTTCGTCGCTGTAATTTTGCTTTTTTTTAACAAACATGAGCCGTTTGAATGATTTCATAAGTGAAAATTTGCGCAGCAGCAGAAAAGAGAACATTGTTGCTTTGCACAAATACGTGTTCGAAAGAGCGGGAGATCGAAACAACCGCCAAAGACTTCGAGACTTTTCCGGATTCGATTTTGATGAGACCTCGGAAAATTATCAGGCGAAAGTAAGCTATATACAGCAACATCTAAGCGAACGGGACTTAGCATCGATCTGCAATGTTTTAAACATAACGTACAACGTTGATGACGTAGGACTTCACATATTTCGCAATCTGTTGCAAAATAGGCTTCTTGCACACAACCAAATCGACTCATCAGACGACGAAGACGAGGATGTCGATGTGTTTGAGAGCGGAAGAAGTACAAGAATCGACATGACTGAGGAAGAAAACAGAACGAAAAATGCGCGAATTTCTGCGAATAGTGCGAATCAAGAACCGAAAACTTTTTGCAAAGACCTGGCAATGCCGCGTTTCGCCTTTAGCTTCCGCGATTTAGAAGACTCAATTCGTTTTTTCGACGGTACTAACTCAATATCTATTGAATCGTGGTTAACTGAGTTTGAAGAACAGGCCGAGATCATGTGCTGGAATGAGGTGCAAAAGTTAATATTCGCGAAAAAGTCTTTGAAAGGAACTGCAAAACTCTTTGTAATGAGTGAGAGAGGACTAAGCACTTGGAAAGCTCTTAAAACTTCTCTCTTAAATGAGTTTAAAACTGTAGTAAGCAGCAAGCAAATACACGAACAGCTAAGCAAAAGTAAACGCGATAAAGAAGAGTGTAGTTTCGCTTACCTGTACCGAATGAAGGAGATGGCCATTCGTGGTGAAATTAGTGATTCAGTTTTAATACAGTACGTAATCGATGGCATAGACGATCATCCAATTGACAAAACACTTCAATACGGTGCCAGAAATTTGAGTGAGTTCAAAGAGAAGTTAAAAAGTTACGTCACAAAAAACGAAAGAGAAAAGGTGTACGACCGTGAGAAACCCAAGCGTAGTGAGGAAATGTTTCACAGCAAGAAAGGTGCAACAGTGAACAAGAACTTTAAAAAAGAGGTTACCTGTTATAATTGTGGTGAAAAAGGACACGTTTCGAATAATTGCAAAAACAAAGAACGAGGTACAAAATGCTTTAAGTGTAACCAGTACGGACATATTTCACGCAATTGTGACCAGAATGCAAAAGCTGAGAACAGTAAAGTGAACACGCATAGAGTGCAGTCGAAGAGCAGTTTTACGAGCAAGGAAATTACTATTGCTAACAAAAAGTGCGTGGCTCTCTTCGACACCGGTAGCAAGTTCA